ATATCACCTATATTACCCATCACAAGGATTAGGTGTTATTCCTGCATCTGTATCTGCATACAGAGATCCCAGCATGCACGTACCAGCTCTGAGTCACACATATCTTTTTAGCTCCCTGTATAAAGTAATGCAAAATTAACTACTGGCTTTTTTTTCCTATTTTTGAAAGAATGTAACTGCTTGTTCTGGTGTGTCCTTCCTTAGATCTTCCTCAAAGTACAGCAAAATTCCTTGTATACTAATGGAAAATCTCCATTTTTTTCAGCTATGAAAGGCATTCTTCATTACTGCAGTTTGTACCTTTATCTCTTCTCTGCCCTTGTCTTTGATACTCACAAGGGAAAGTCCAGCCTTTCCTCATATACAAACAGTTCCCATGCTAGGCTGGCCACACTCGGCTATCTGCACTTCTGCAAGTAGCTTAAGGGACTCGAATAGCACCCATCAATCGTGATCTTTACACCTCCGGTCTGAACTCAGAGGTGAGATACAGATGCCAACTAAACTTGGGCAGCTTTTTAATTGAGATCATGTGTGGGATTCATTCATTCATTCAAACTCTGTAGGTTTAAATAGGCAAAAAGTTCAGATCTTTCCTCCATCACCCCAGCCGGCTGCAGAGGCTGTAGCTGTGACGCGCACAGTCTGCGTGCAGCGCACACGCAGGATGAATGAGAAACCACACCAAAATCAGCGCCCATTTGCAATGTTGTTGTGGCCGACCTTAACTCCTCTCCTCACCAACATTCAAGCTGTGTCATGTGTCAAACCGCTATACAAAACTAGCACCAATGTAATTGTGCCTTCTCACGAAATCTTAGCCTTAATTTTGTGTGTCTAGCATCAGGTCCAAGTTGGAAAGTAGTTTTTTGATACTTTCCAAAGGCAGAATTAACAAAAGACTACTGCCATAAATACATTAAGTAACTTTAATGCTGCTTAGCATAAGTCCTTGTTATATACTTTCACCCAAATACCCCAGTGTAAATGTATTTTATACAATATGAAGTATTTTTAAAAGTATATGGTTCTAGACAAAATCTTCACAAAATGAGTTTCAATGCAGGTAGAGAATCAGAAAAAAAACAATCAGCCAGTGTACGAAGTCTTTGGAAGATAAAAATTTCAGAAATAAAGATACACAAAACCATCCTGTTGCAGTAATTCAGGACGACCGTGTGGTTCCAGTAGTCAGAAGGGCTGCCACTCACGGCTACGTCATCCATGAGAACCTGGGTCACTGGGGACCGCGGGGCACTACCGAGGGTGGCTGGCCCTCAGAGATCCTTCCACCTGACACGTCTGACAAAGTCACCTTCACAGCAGACACCCGTGGCTCAAGGGGAATGAGTAGGCCTGGGAATGCAGAAAGTCCTGTCTTCCCTTCCCCAACCACTGCCAGTCTCTGCAGAATATCCTGGTGCCCAGGCAAGATGTGGTGAGCAAGCTGTTTTACGAATGACAGGGAGCCTTTATTCTCCCAGGTTATCAATTTGGCGCTATTCACAAGAACAACAATTATTTACTAGCATTGTGAAAAAAAAAAGTTTCACCATCTGCAAAACGGCATGAGTGTTAGGGAGCAGAGCGCAATGCTATTGTTTAGTTTTGTTAAATCAATTTTCTATATATAACATTGCATGTCATTATACAACAAGGATATCCAAGAGAGGCTCAATTAAACTTCATTCATGCCAAAAGCAAGCTCCATAGTGGGCAGACCACTTTGCATTCCACTGCTTTCAGTAAGATGTTGCATAGGCATGTGTCCAAATAAAAACACCTTTACAACACTGCAGGTTTAGAATGCAACAAATAACACACTGCGAGAATTGAGGTCAGACATTATTCACCATTTGGTAATATCCCAGTCAAACCACACTGACTCACATAATAAGTAACAAATGCAGCACTTGAAGTAACAACCAAAAACCAAAGCTGTACTCCAACACAGTAGAACAGTGCAAATATTTCAGTTTAACAAAAATATACCATGTATATACACACACAACACAAATGCACTGTTTTGTTTTGCAGTATAAATAGAACCAATTAAGCTAAATTCCTAAAACTAATGAACTACTGACTGACAGTCCCAAACAGTTTCCATCTACTACGGAATACAGTAAGCTTTACGGATCAGATGACCATAGCTGGATATGGCTATAAAAGAGTATCAAAACATTTCACTGGATAGATATGTAAAATATTTTCTCTGTACATCAAAGTTAATAACATACACATACTACATTGGTATCACAAAGCCAGCTTGGACTCTGGTCATGCCAGGAGCAGCACACAGAAAACTCACAACTCCACAAGCAGCCACAAGGCTCCGCCTGTGTGGAATGCACTGTAACGCTGCAAAACACTTAAGGCCCAATCCCAGGACGTAATGAGGGGGGAGCTTGCAGCTGCCTGTGCAGTTAACGTGTTGGTTTAGTTTCCATTTTCCTCCTCTTCTGATTTAGCACTAGAATTCTGTTATTTGCTAATGACATATCTGTTCATCCCTGAACTCTAAAATACCGTACAGGGAGTATGCTTCTAATGAGTACACAACAACAGTAAAAATTAGAAAGGGAAGAGACGGAAACTTGTTTTCTGTTAAGGAAATCCTGATTAAGGGTTATTTGCATTTCAGCACGTGAAAACAGATTTTAAGCCAAAAAAAGTCTTTTTGGAATTAGATTACAGTAAAACAGACAAGTGGCACTTAGTTTGATCTGAAGCAGAACACTCAGGCATTAACCTCTTCAACTGCTATAGCCTCCATCTCCTTAATGCCAGGGCTGTGCTGCAACCGTAACAAACAGCTGTTGCAAAGGCAAAAATCTAGAGGAAGAGCAGGGAAAAAAAGAAGAAAAAAGAAAAATGTGAATCCCACATTACATTGTTCTACTTTTTTTTCTATTCTAAATGAATACAGGAACACAAATGATTCAATAGTTACCCCCCCCCAGCCGAAATGCCTAAGGTAAAGATAGGTTTGGGATCCTCTGAAGTTTTCTCATGAACCTCTCTGTTATAACCCCACGTTACTGCTTTTAGCTTACTTGCTTGCTTCAGAAGACATTTGGAAACAGAATATGAAACAGAATGTCTGCATAAGTTATGGTACAAAGTAATCACGTGGGTATGTACACCGTGTACTTCCATTTTCTTGTATCTAGACTGACCAAACATTAATCTCAGATTTGTTTCCAAGAGAATGCCTTTACAAGCAAACGACTAAGAAGACATCCCTCTGAAGAGCAGAACTCTTTTACTTGCAGAAATAGAGAAACAGCTTAAAATCTGGCCTCCTTGACCAGATAACCAGCCATGAGAACAACTTCCTGAGAAATGCCAGGAAGTTGCTATTGCTCAAGAACTGAATTGAACAGATTTGAACACAGCAAAGTTTAATATATTCATGTAAACCAGAAGGAAGAAGTGAGAAACTGAATTGCTGAAAAAAATAATTTCTCATATTGTCCAGTGCTAACAATGGATTCTGTCTAGAATGACGAATTCAATCATGTCATAACAACCTATCCCTTCTTTCCATACAAGTGTTGATTTGACAAAGTTTCAAATAGATGCTACACCGTAGAACTATCACCCACATAAAATCAACATCTATATTTTTAATCACAGTATACAAAAGTACTTTTAAAAGACAAAATGTTAGCAATCTTAATTCTTTTGCATGTACATCACAGGACTGCTTTAGTAAAGTGTTTCAAAGGATTACCCTCAGAGAAACAGTATGGAAGGGGGAAAGGGTCTCTTGGAGTCCCCAGTACCCTGCTGTCAGACAAAATGACTGAAGTGACCGTGTATTCAGTGGATCTGAACACACTGAACAAGGACTGAAGAGCTACACTTAAGGGCAGAATCTGAGATGCTTGCTTAGTATAAAGCCCTCCCTTAGTTCAGGCACAGCTGAGACACCACCTCTGTCTTCGCGCCACACGGCCACACCGGGATCAGATGGGTTCGAGCGTGTTAACTGGCAAGTGGGTAACGGTGAGGCACTCTGGACCTGACATGCCCACCTCACCCCTTCAGAGACTGCCTTGCCGAAGCAAAAGGCCTTTCCTGTTCATTCTCTGCTTGCAGAAAGAATGTGAACCTTACACCTTACGTTCACCTGCTTGTATCTTACAATGAACTGAGGGTGTTTACTGTGCAAAATTTACGGTATATTTAGTTTCAAGGACTACAGATACCCACAGAGGGTTTCAGAAGCTTAATAAATATATACAGTTCCCTGAGGTATGCAAGACCCTCTGGATGGTGGAAAAAAATAAAAGCAGTAGTTTCAGTTCTTTAAGTTAAGCCTACTGGCACACCTCTGCTTGCCCTTCAGGAGCCCAGCCAGGGAGAAAGCTAGAGCCTGGTGTATTCTCTGACTCAGCTATGCACACCCACATCACCAGATACAGTGATGATGCAACTACAGTAAGAAAAATGCAGTCTGAGCTTAGGCTTTCAATAAAAGCACTTGAATCCTTGCCATAGGAGACAGCATGGCCCTAACAGATAACTTTTATGCCTGACGTAGTAAGTACAGATCTGGAGTTTCACAAGGAGCTAGTCCAGTTTTTTCCCCATGCCATGTTCAGGACTATGTAAACAGTATAAAAAAAGCAACTGAAAGTTTGAACACATGCATGAAATTCACACCTAAGGCTTTGATGAAGGCTCAGTTGTTCCTCTTTTCTTCTATTCTAATAACCAACATGGCTTTTACAAAATACCTTGTCTAAAAATTCTAAGGTGTAGTGATCATATATTTAATGCACTATAGTGAAGAGCAGCAACTGAGCACCTACCGCATTAGCATTGGCTTAATCCAATATTTTTTGCCTGTCACTGTTAGACACTATTTGCTGCTCTCCAAGACAATCCCTTCTCTCACAGCTCCTGTTTCTATTCTAGCTTGCTGTTAAATTGCCAAGTTGAACGGTTGGCTACAAGGTCTTACAACAGACTCCTGTTGCCCAGATACAAACATATGAAATACATACCGAGGCTGCTATACTTATGTTATATTCATGACCAGCTAGAATCTTCTCTTGTGTGGTGGAATTGAATTTGCGGGGAAAGTGATGCAGAGATGTAGTTGCTGCTTGCAGTAGAAAAGCTCCAAAATAAAAGACAAAAGTAGCCCCATGGAAAAGAAAATCCTGAAAAGCAAATAACAGAATCAGTCTGGGCTGCAATACATATCTAATTTTTCTAGTCTCAGTACCAATGAAACCCAACACCAAAACATGAAACGAGCACTGATAACAATAACTTTAGATAAGCAGCATTAAATCCATCTGAGAGCTTAACCTGGACATGTTTTCACAGCTGCTTGCAATTATAAGCAACTCACTCACATAATCAGTAAGAAAGGGCAACTCTCCCTCTCCCCAAACCCTATACTCTTTCAAATTAAGAGGCACGTGCTCATCTATATGTACACATGCCGACCTTTTAGATCACTAAAGCTATTAGAGCTTACAGAACTCTCCCTTCATATGGCTTAGATAAAAAAGAAGGGACACACAGGCCAACTTTATCACAATTAACCAGTACAATACAAGCTTGCAGTCCCCCAAATCCCTTCTCAGCTATAACCTAAGCTCCAGAAGTCCACCCTCCATCCTTATATTTTGCATCTGTAAAGGCCCACAAACACCTCAGCCTTGACACAGCTGAAGCTTACTTCCAGATACGATCAGAATCCAAGAACTGAGACATTTCCTCAACTCTTTCTGACGTGGCTCTACCGAAAATACAGTAATTCGGAAGTACTTCACGATACTGTGGAATAAAACGCCTGAGACTTGAGAGGACAGGAGTTAGGATTTACTTTAAATATGCTTCTCTCCTGGCCTTCTCTAGGCGATTCCCTCCTCTGTGGTGAATGCTAGCTGAACACAAGGTTTAAACATCTAACTCTCATTTCTGGATTCTATTACCAGAGCACATGAAAAAGCAGCTCTGGTGCCTAAATCTCTTTGCGGGTTGTATTTCAGAGTACAGCGTTCCACACAGCAAGATCCAAGACATGTTCCAGTACAGTTTTAAAATGTCTAAAGTATTCTTCCAACATCTCCTTCTTTTGTTGAGTCTGCAAAGCTGACATTTGCATTGTACTCAGTTCCTGAGTCCATACAACATGTAATTTGTGCCTATGCAAAAGCCATAGACACAATTAAAAAAAATCATACACGAGTACATGCATACTTTTTGATGATATCCATGTTATATAGTCCATCTCCAGCACTAACGAATTATTTATGCACTTCTAATTCATTTGAGTGCAATGGACTACCAGCACACTTGAGACTGAGAACCCAGGGTACACCACACGAGTCCATCACAACAGCAGACAGCACTAGAAATTACTGGCCAACTTCCTTACCTACTGACTGATATCAAAGTGAGAATGTGCTGCATTTCCCTGTTTAGAGAATTGTTTCTTCGTAGATGTGAGATTTTCCTTTTATTGAAAAAATTTTCTTTTCAAACTCACCAGTTGTGTCATATTTGATAGCAGCTAAAGCTACTGAAATCACACCCTAGCCAGTGTTGGTAAGTTACCATATAAGCTGCTACTACAGTTTCCCATTCCACTTAGATCAGAAAAAAATTTAATTAAGAATCATTTGAGGTTAGGTCACAGAGTGCACTGCTTTTCTTAGTGACTGCTAATCACTGGGAATCCAAGTTTTGGCAAAACAGCTGCAGTAGTTCCCAACTTCTGGTTTTCCATCCTGACTGGGTTGTTGGTTGCTTTTTTTCTCCATTTTTTTAAAAACAATTACTCCCTCTTGGAGTATCACCAGGAGGTCCCACTGACATCAACAGATCTGAGAAGATAAGGGCGCTGAGGGTGGCTTCCTGACCTAGCTGGAGACCTTTATGTGCTAGGCTTGCCAGGTCTCAAGCTTTGGGCATAAGACACATTCCTTCAGCCTCCAGCTCTGCTGTAACATCTGTACCTCACAGAAAAAAATAGCAGGGAGCTACTCCAGTATGAGAGTCCTGAAGCATCAGAGAAGCTGCAGTGCTCTGCTGCAGCTGGGGGAGGCACTTCTCCCACCACATGCTTACTGTTGTGTCTTCCCCCTGCTCACTCGAGCTGGCAGACAATCCCCCCCCCCCCCCTTCTGTCCACACGCACCATGTCAGCCTGCACGCAGGCGTATGTTCACTCTGTGACAGATGCTGGTCCCCTGACACACCCAGTTCATAGGACAGGATTCCAGCAACTTGAAAGGTCCGCATAAACCCATGGGTAATCAAGGACATCCATTATTCTGGGGCTGCTACATACCTAGCATGCAACTATGTCAGTGTTATCAGCTGTATAGTTCTGGCACTGCTGGTCATGAAGGAGCACAAACAGCTCCACGAGGAACACAGTGCTGACTGCGTACAGGAGGTATTTTCAGAAGACAATCTCTTTAATTTCTTTCATTCTCCTGCCAAACCCTCTAATTTCCTTCTCCTGGCAGCAATTACAGTGAAGCTGTGTAGCATCAGTAAGGTCTCACGTTCGTATGGTTAGGGTTTCTGTGAGCAAAAGCCTCAAGATCTTAGGAGGAACGTTTTTTTTCTTTTTTCCTAATTGTTAGCATGGTGCCTAACTCTCTCGTGCCTCCACGCTTGTATAACCATTGAAGCCGCATCTGAAATGTATGTAAAACATTACCAGATCTGCATGATATGTTAGTTCACATCTAATTTTGTAAATGAGCATGTTGTGAGTCAGGCTGTAAAGGACAGTATTTGTCATACCATCTGGTTTAATACAGCGATCTACAGAGTGATGCACCTCCCTAAGGTTTGTATTTCCCCCAACTTTTCACTGTGTAACATCTTATTTTTTAAGTAACTGTATCAGTGGATCTACTTATGATGTAAGGTATTACTAAATGCAGGGCTGTCAGAATCCCATGCTATTTTTCAAACTTACATTTAAACTCCTGCAGTCTTAAACCACATCTGTTCATGAATCTCTGCATGAAGCTACAGTACTCCAGTATAACTAAGCAATGACTCTTCCCACTTTTGACCTAATCTAATGACCTGTAGCTTCTGCGTTCTATTGTAAATTTATTTTATGAAACAGTAAACCCCATGTATTTATCTAAATACACGTCAACCTAAACCAAACAGGAACATGTTTTTATTTTATAGTCATAAAATTAGTTTTAGTGTTTCTAGTAATTATTTATTTGCAAGAGAAGGTAAAAAATCCTTGTGAAATGCTGCTAAAACGTTTAGTGCAAACAAGTCACAGAACATTTGGGTACCTGAAAATAGTGGTCAAATGATTGTCCTGGTTTTGGCTAGAACAAAGTTAATTTTCTTCCTAGTAGCTGGTATAGTGCTGTGGATGGAGGGTGAGAATAATGCTGATAACACACTGATGTTTTAGTTGTTGCTAAGCAGTGTTTACACTAAGTCAAGGACTTTTCAGCTTCTCAGACTGCCCTGCCAGCAGAGGCTGGGAGTGCACAAGGAGCTGGGAGGGGACACAGCAAGGACAGCTGATCCAAACTGGCCAAAGCGGTATATGACATCACGCCCAGTATATAAACTGGGGAGAGTTGGCCAGGGGACACTGCGGCTTGGGGATTGGCTGGGCATTGGTCAGTGGGTGGTGAGCAATTGTATTGTGCATCACTTGTTTTGTGTCTTCTATTATTATGGTTTTCCCTTCCTTTTCTGGCTTATTAAACTGTCTCTATCTCAACCCACAAGTGTTATTTCCCTCAATTCTCTCCCCCATCCCACTGGGGGCTGGGGGAGTGAGCACGCAGCTGTGTGGTGCTTAGTCGCCAGCTGGGGTTAAACCACGACATGACCTATCTAGTGTTATTATATTCCCCAGCTGGAAGAGGCTGGATTTCATCTACCATGTCAGAGATAAAATGATTCCCTCTGCATTTATTTAAGATGTTGACTTAGTTTAGATTCTTACAGAGTCCCACAGATGCAGCATTTATACAGGTCATGTAGCAATTTCCTGACACAGAACGTTTTTCAGTCATTTTTCATATACAAGGGGACAAAATTAACAGTACAACAAATCACTGCCAGCATCAAGTAGCCAACGTGTAAGGCACACTTACGCAATTGCTACAAGATGAACATTTGTACAGCATTTTCAATCTACAGAAGGCTATGCCCTCACCCTGCAGCTCCTAATTAGATGCATGATTGTAAATGGGCACACAGTTTCAATGAAACCCAGGACACTATTAATTTACTTAAGTTATGCACATGCTCAAGGGCTTTGTTGCATCATAACTTGTGAGGATGTCGCAGCATAAATCCCTGTAAAGGTCTCTGCAATTGTAACTCATTACTACCCTAATTACTGCCTGTATTGTGCTGGAAAGCTGACGCTGTATGTGTATTTGCTACCGAAGTGCTAAAGTTTGTTTTAATAGAATCCAGTCTGTTACCACTGACGGGCTTTGAAGTTATCAGAGCCCTAGACTCAGGAAGCGCTATGATTTGCTTTAAAGACCTTTTGTTTTGAGGGACTGTCTGTAACTTGATCAGATAACTAACCACAGATGTTGACACCGAAGCATGAATTCCAGCTATGATCAACGAAGTGTCAATAGGAAAACTAAGACACAGAGGAGGAAGGTGAAGGTGATCAGCAGTTACAAACAGCTGTACTTTAATATTTTAGAAGATCTGATTCTTTTGGAAGATTTTTTGGAAATTCCCATTCTGATCACAGTTTTGCCACCTCTTATTATTCACCTCCAGTAATATAAGAGTGATACCATCTTGTGCTCAACTACTTAAGCGCTAAAAACTCAAAGTAAAAAGCAGTTAATGACAACAAAGGAGTACATAAATTAGCAGTCCACAAGCTGAGGTATCCATGTGGTTGGTAAGAACTGGAGCCAACAGCCTCCCTTTTTTTAATAGGGAGGCACAATCTGAGAGAACTACTAGCACAAGCCATAACGGTCCATTACAGCAAGAATCAAGTCTTGTCTTCACAATGAAGAAAAGCTGAGCAGAGTATAATGATATCTGTAGTCTCACCAGGCTTCCTCTATGAAAGATAAACACTAGGTCTCCTAAAAAGATGTTAAGCTATATCATATTGCAGGTTATGCTGTCTTTGACCACCTAGGGTCTAACAGCCACTCGCCAATGCTCCCCTAGCTTTAAGGAACTGACCCAACCCAAAAGTGAGCAGAAGACTTTTTAGGAACTGGAGGAGACTTCCTGGGTGCTTTAGTCCAGTCCATGCCATCTCACAACACACCATGTGTTCACAAATGTATCACTTCCTTTAAATATTACATGTATCTCTCTAGCCCCCCACTACTCAAAGGTTGTTACTATCACTCCTCTAGTAGTCAGAAAATATTTTCCCATTTCCAGTCCACAATTATTTCTGGCCAATTTAAACCAATTTGTTGTCATGCCTTGTTAAGCTAGTCCTCTTCCTGCTGCGCACGCATTTTGGGTCCTCATAGAGGACAAGTATACTCCTTCAATCAATTTCAAAAGCTGAGCTCTTTCAACCTCCATCATAAAACAGGTCCTGCATTTCCTCCATCATACTTGCAGCCTTACTCTTTTCTTTTTCCAGTTTTGAATTCTTTGTTTTCAAAAACTTCCCGTAAAACAGAAGTCCGGGCATTAAGACTTAGGATCAGTACTTCTCATGAAATGATTTTCAGACTATAAAACAAAGGGAATAAAGAAAAAAAAAAATCTTACTGTCTGGTTCCAGTTGACAGCAATTCTATTTGCATAACCGAAGAGGAACACACAGAGGAACACAATGGAGAGGAACCACGCAGTCACCGCTACAAACATCACCCATCCCTGCAGCAGCGGCAGTGGAACTTGGGTGGAAGCTACCAAAATCCAGACTATCGTTCCAAAGAGCTGCAAGGAAAGGAATACAGACAATGAAGTGAGAGAGAACTTTTATGCAGTCCTTTCTGCCTAAGAACTAATATCACATATCAGCACATCCTCAGATTACTTTTAGGAACCAAGATAAAACACTTCAAAAGTACTCACAGAGCCCAAGTGCCATTCTGAGAAATAATAGGCACTAAGTGGCAGTAAGATGAAGCCACTCTGAAATTGTTAAAAGCTCTTAAAATAGTCTTGAAAATGGGATTTACAGACCCAGGTGACTTGCATGTTGCTGCCGAAAGTTTTACCTTTACTCTCATTTTGAGGAAAACAAAAAAAATGTGAAAACGCGGTTCATACACAGATACACAAATCTCTGTATATACTAAAGTTAGCACGACAAGGGTATACATCAGACTTGAATTCCATCTCATACTGTTTAGTTTTGTAGTCCTGATCAGATGAGATACAGAAAAGAGATGAAACTGCATTCACTTCTTCAATGCATTTGTAATAAAAAGCTGAAAGAGAACACATTAAGCAATAAAACGAAAGAGAAAACACAGAATAAGGCGAGTTGCAAATGATGTTGTAATGACTAGAAAAACATACAGCTTTCCAGAATTATCATAACCCAGGGAAGAATTCAGCACCGCCAATTTTCTTTTCAGCATACTGATCACAGCAAACAAGTGGTTGGGGTGCTGTGCTATCATGGGCTGATGGAGAATTTACAAACTCCAAAACTTGCCTGGTTTAATCAACTCTTGGCCTAAGGAAGGGTACTATTTCTCCCTGCAAATCCTGCCTCTTTATAAAAAAGGATAACTGGAGAAAATCGTAATTGCCATCTGAAGTATGCTCACTTATCACAGAAAGATTTAACTTCATAATCCAACCTGCAGTGTAGTGACAGCTACAATCAATTTCCAAGCAAGTTACTACTTTCCTGTTTAAATCCTACAGATTTACAACTTCAGAGTCAGAGGTTACGTTTTCAGATTCACAGAGCTTTCTTTCGAATCAAGGTTGGATGAGAGACACCTTTCAACAGACACCTGCTATAAAATTAGCTGGTTCCTCTGTTGTGTTACGTTGCAGCAGCATATATGCAAAGACGCATTGCTAGTCTCAGTTCAAAGCTCCCAAGGGTTTATGTATTAGCCTTCAAGCTGTTCTCTAGGGCTCCCTTTTTAGCTACTGTGAAGAACCAAACTTTCTCTAGTTTCACAAGACTGCAGGTGCAAGTCTGTTACTCAAAGACCAGATAGTGATGGGCAGTGAGGAAGCAGAAGGGATAGCAGAAAGTGGCTGTTAAACAAAGAGCAGAGACACGAGATGTTTTCAGTATTCTGAATGTGTAACCTTGCAGGCTTCTATAAAAATAAATTTAGAAGTCCGCTGTAGAGACTGCTAATCTCAGCACCCACTGTTGAGCCATTTCCCTCATACTACACCTGCCCACTTCAGCTCGGCTGTCAGCGGTTGGCCAACCTAATTAACCTTTTGTCCCTACTGACTCAGGGCCTGATTTAGCACCCGGGCTTGTGCTCTGAGCTCTGCTCAGGTCCAGTTTTACAGCTTACAGGGCGGGATCCATCTCCCAGACCGGGACCCAAGCAGTATTCTGCTCTGACCCCAAGAAAAAAAAAATAAATTAACAGAATCAGATGAGTCCTGACAAGGTTGAGTTTTTTTCTCCTACTAATTAGTACCATGGCTCCGCAGAGCCTCATACTCAGCCGTAGCTCAAAGGTCTCAGCGCTGTGTACAGCAGCGAGGTCTTACACGTGCATGAAATTAAACATACTCGTAGGAGCTTGCACAGGACCCGTAACACGCACATAGGCGAAAAACTGTAACTCTCCATGGCGGAGTTTTGGGTCTGGAGCTCCATGTGGCTCAAAGTCCTCGACAGCTTGGACAGCCCCGTAAAACCCACCTCTAAGGGCCACCGGGCCAGGGAGGGGAGGGGGGGAAGCGCCGGGCCGCCCGGCCCGAGGCGAGCAAACACGCCGGG